CTACTGCATTAACCTTAGGATTTTATTTACTATTTCGTATTGTAAAGTGCAACCCTGTTCACATTTCTGCAAGCCACATTCTCAATGATAACCCATATAGCTACTAGTACAGCTACTTCAATGTATTTGCAATTAGCACAAATTGATCCTGAGGATGTGCCAGATGTTACCAATGATGTTCCTGATGTGTATATTGAACATTAGGTTGTGAACTATTACATTTTATGATTTGCTTTTTATATTATGTTATTACATTTGTGATTTTTCCTTTCTATTTGAGTTATTATTTTTAAAAATAATAAAAGAGGGGAACTGTTAGGTATTTTAGTACCATGGTAGCATTTACTGGATATTGTTTTATAGTGACATTATGCAGGAAAACTCTGTCATTCAATAAGGCCCCTTTGTTTTAGTTATTTTTCTCTTTGACCCAAGAATTGATGTGTGAGAATCACAGGCTGGTACAAGGTTGAAATACCACAGAGATCACTCCCTCAGCTACATTAGTTTCTTAATCTTTTAGACGCCTGTTGAAGGCCAAATGGTTTGTTTCAGTTTTCACTAATGAAAGAACTCTTTGTTTTGTGCCTTGAAAATATGTCGCTGAGATAATCACAATTGTAGCTGAACTGATACACTACACAAAGGATGCTTCTTCACCCAAGGGCAGGAAGACGCTCCCTTATCTTGGTCTGTACTGGTTTAAACTGATAATCTGCTGTCTCATGAATTTTACCCTCTATATAAACTGTTGTACTTGTGAATAAAGTTGAGTCACTTTGGGAAGACAACCTGAAGCAGTCTCTGTTTTCTTGTTCTCCCAAGCTGCTCCCGAGCTCGTACTAACACGCTGAATGGCATGCTTGAATATTACTTGAGAATATATTTGACTGTGTTACAGACTAAGGGACATTCTCTGCTGATAGGTGAAGGTACATTCTCTGCTGATAGACGTCCACGCCTCGAAGGAAGTCGATCCACGGATTAGGCCCTGGAAACCGTTTCCTTCAGTTAGTTAGCTTTTTTGCTAACTTTAATAGAGACACTTGGAGAGCTTGCGCAAGACGCCTTAGCGAATCATCTCAATTGTAAAGTTCCGTTAACATCTCACCATGGGATCCATAGTGTCCAGATTACTCAGCAGATTACTCAGAGAAGAGGAAATTGAGGACATTGAAGAAATTAAGAAGGAAACTGGCTTTTCCCACAGGAAGATCACTCGCCTGTACAGACGTTTCACCAGCCTGGATAAAGGGGGAAACGGCACCCTCAGTCGAGATGATTTCCATAGAATCCCCGAGTTGGCCATCAACCCTCTGGGAGATATAATCACCAACGGATTCTTTCCTGAGGGAGAGGACCAGGTAAATTTCCGGGGCTTCGTGCGGACCCTGGCTCACTTCAGGCCAATCGACCAAGACAACGAGAAGAACAAGAACCCCTCAGCTACAGAGCCCCTGAACAGCAGAACAAACAAGCTGCTTTTTGCTTTCCGTCTATATGACCTGGACAGAGATGGCAAGATCTCCCGAGATGAGCTCCTGCAGGTCTTGCGGATGATTGTTGGAGTCAACGTTTCAGATGAAGAACTCGGCAGCATTGCTGATAGGACCATCCAGGAGGCTGACACAAACGGAGATGGCTGCATTTCCTTCAATGAGTTTATTAAGGTCATGGAAAACGTGGATGTGGAACAGATGATGAGCAGCTGGTTCCTGCGATAAAGTTTCATTATTGTTATCATTTTTTTTTTTTGTAATTTGTTTGTGATAAAGTTGTATGAAAGAGTTAGGATAGAAAGTGTTACACAAGTTATTTGAATGTTGCTATTTAAACTATTTTGTACATTTTGTAAAGCATCTCGTACCTCTGCTTTATTGCTGTTGATGCCAAAGAAACACATCAATACATACATCTACATTCAATGCTGGCATTTACAACTTTTAAGGTGATTTTAGACCTTGTGATTATGTTTGTTTGTTTGTTCACCTAAATGAAAAAAGAAGATTCAGTGGCCCTTTCACTAATAAATTGTCTGTATAAATTGTCTGTCAGTTAAAACTTTAAGTTGTTAAAATAAGCAAATAATGTGAAGTTACTTTCAAAATTTTATCATAATCATTAAAATCTCTCCTCCTTTCTTACCTGATGAATGAGGGCTGAAGGTAAAAAGCTGCTCTTTGCCATCTTCTGTTGTTACGTTACACTTAAAGTCAGAGTTAGATATGTGACTGTATAAAGAATTTACAAAAGTCACAGTAGCAGAGCAGGACGACTGTAATGTTTTTATGTTTGAGTAATCTCTATTCAGACCTTCACTGTAATGGATCCACTTCACTTTGTGTTCACAATGTCCATGTACCTGCACAGAGGAGTTTAAAGTCACCTGATCCCTGCTCTTCTGTTCAGTCACTGGTGAAGATAAACGCAAGAAGAATTAAAAAGTATGAATACATTTCTTTTCACTAAATGTAATGTTTTATGATGTTGCTCTAACAACACAGTTTGAACTTCAACATATTGTGGTGTAAATACTCACTGATGACATCAGACAGATAAACCACAGCATCTGGACCTTGCTGTTTCCCTGGATTGCCTCTAAACTGTCTGCAGGTGTAACGACCAACATCCTCAGCTGTGACCTTCTTTATAACCAGTGAACATTCTGCTGTAACACTCAGTCTGTCTGATTTGACTGTTTCTTTGATTTGTCCAAGATTAACCAGCTCTACTGCTGCTTTTCCTCTTGAATCAGTGAAGAGCCAGGTGGTAGTGTCACAGCTGTGATGGTTTTTGATCATGTTTTCACAAGGCAAAGTGACTTTATCTCCATCTCTGACAGTGAAGGAGAGTGAAAGATCTCCACTTAGATCTCCTGAGAATATAACAGAAAAAAAAAACAATACTTGTCTGAACGGAGACGATTTACATTCTTATTACAAAAGAACTAACAAAAAACTTGATTTGGGTTGTCAAACAAAAGCACAGCTCTCTTGGATTTCAAAATAAAGTAAAACTCAAAAGAAGAAAAAAAATCTCTTACGTGTTACATGTATCCTTACCTTCAAACTGAAGCACAAATATAAAAAAAACACAGACCATGTAATACATCTAGATACACGGAGAGCTTCCTTTAATTAGTGAATCATGATGTCCTCATTAAGACTTTCAGCTTACTCTTAACAACCAGTTCAAAACAACAAGTTCAGCTGATTTGCTCCACAAAGACTCCAAAAGGAGGAATATAAAAATAAATGCAGAAAGCAAACAGAAAGTATCACAGCATAAAAGCTAAAGTAGGTAAAAGAAAATTGATGTAGAAATTACACCTAATAATTGAGACAAAACAAGAGTTTGGTGACTATTGTAACTGAACATACTTATCAATATCAGACGTCTATCATTAAGACAGTGAATTATTCAAAACTACTTCATGCATCTGTTAATCTTAACAATAATCTGTTCAGTAAGTTAGATGCTGATAAAGTGTTACAGTAGGAAGAGGTTTTCAAAGCTAATTAATTTTCATATCTGAAAATGTGTGTTTGAAATTTGTTGTTGAGATTAAGTAAAATAGCAAAAAGGTTTTAGTTGTAAATAAAGGTTTCCTTACCTGAAAAAAGAAGCAACAGAAACAGAGAAATGTTGAAGAATTTGTGTTCAATCATCACGTTTTGTTCTGGTTTTCCTTCTCATTTTGTCACATCTATAACTGGCAAACTCTGTTGTACTTGTCAAAGACACATGCCTATCTAGTTTACTTCCTGTCTCCTCCTCATTCAGGCTGTGGTCATTTTCAATGTTATGGTTATTTCTTGTATTTATTTTTTAATGTAGATCATATGAATTCCCTCAGTTTTTCAAATGTGTAGACCCCTTCTCAACCAAACTGACAACTGCAGTCTTACTAATTTTGGTGGAGGTAAATAAGAGTAATTTTATAGGATATTAAATAATGTGTTGTAGAGTTTTATCTCCACTAAAGCCACAGCACACTTCCTGTCCACTGCCATATATCAAAGTATGCATTTGTACCAATTGTCTTGTGCAAACTCATATTGCTTGTTCAGTGTTTAACAGAATCCATGTTGGTGATGGTAAGCAAGACTTTGCTCTTAATGATTTAGCTTGTTTAATTCATTTTTAATGAGCAGCAGCAGAGCGGGGGAGGTGTTATCCACAAATGACCAGAATAAACATAAGTGGGAATATTTTGTATTTTAGATTGCTTTACTTTCTTGCAACCTAAAAAAATGTATTTAGTTCTCAGGTCCTAGTTGCTTTGGCTTTATTCCTCCCTTAGTGTAAAAGCTACACTGTAAAAAAAATCTGTCAAATTTACGGTAAAATACCGGCAGCTGTGGTTGCCAGGAATATACCGTGTAAAAAATGTGGAATCTGTAAAAGACAATACGGTATACTGGTTTTGTAACCCTAATTTTTAAGGTAGACAACGTATTATTTTACCAAAATCATGATAGAAAAAACCAAATATATTTGTCAATTATACAGCAATTTAATGTAAAAAATGCAACTTTCCATAGCTTTTTACGGATATTTGCAGTAAAAAAAAGTAATAATATAATAATATTTACAGTAATTTGTTGTTAATTTAACAGTAATAGGATAGACCCTATTATTGTAAATAACTGTAAAAATAACAGAAATATGTTAAACCTTATTAAAACCTTTGACAGTAAAAAACACAGTGAAATTGTATAACAAATTACAGCATTTTATTTTGACCAGATACATTTTATGGTAAATTCCTGGCAACCACATCTGCCGGTATTTTACCGCTAAAAATACAGTACAATATGAGGAACATAAATGGTTTACCGTACATTTTACATTTGCAACCGCTAAATATAGAAAAATCTAAAGATGCTCATATACAACCAAGGTAGAGAATATTACTGATAAACAATGAGAAAATTTGACATACCATTTGAAAACAGACTAAACACATTATTTTCTCTATTCCTACAAAACAGCATAGATCTTGAGAATACAGCATGTGTCCATATATATGGCTGGTAATCCATGGAGGAATGAATAAACATGAAACAAAATATTACCTGCCCCTGACCTATCAACAGTAATGAGTCACTGGGTCCTGCCTTGGTGAAGGAAAGGACTCGGTGGAGTTTCTAATGCGCATGGTGTTGAAGATACAAGCTCTGCAGGAGTACTTCAATGTCCATCAGGAGTTCACTTTGGACTGGCAGGATCCCCTCTGCAGCAAAAAAAATGGACAAAGTTTGATCAGTGCTTGAGCAAAATGCACAGAAATGAACAAAACGTGCTGCCAAAACCAGATCTAATGATAAATGATTTCTTAAGTGTAAAATATACAGTTCTTAAAGGATAGCTATTGTCAAAATGCAACCTGGGCTGTTTTTTTCAGTTTTTTTTTTTTTTTTACTGTAAACGAGACAAACATATATCTAAAAGCATAATTACGACAAACAAGCCGTTTTTGAGATTGACCGTGATTTTGTTTTGTGGTCAATAGCCAGTGAATGGGAATACTAGGGGGCCGGGGCATAAATTTGAGCACATCAAAATCGATACAGTAAAAAAAAACAAAAAAAAAAAAAACAGCCCAGGTTGCGTTTTGGCAATAGTTATACTTTAAATCTACTTATGTAAAAGTTATACATAGACAACGCAGCCCTAATCACAATCATAATTTGTTGGAAAACGTATTTAAGTTTCGTATTGATTTATCATAGAACTTGAAGTTAATGGCTGAATGCATGGTGATGAGACCTATCATTCAATCTACATTTTATAGCGTATGAAACTGCTCACCTGGACATGAACCTGAGCTCGGCTGATTAAGATTAGTGTCTCCTGTCCATCTTTCTTTAGCAAAACTTGAATAATACCACTGCTTACCTCTTATTGAATCTTTGGGTGCAGACTTAATTGAAGAGCCTCGTATAAACAGGCAGGGTGTGATGTTTAGGGAAACCAAAGAATACAGCCGCCATCATTTCTGCCAGAAGACTCATTGGGTGCAACGAAGCTTTCATTGTGGACTGGCTAGATACCTTCTGCATTCAGAAGGAAAACAAGAAGGGCATACACCATAAACAATAATAACTGACAAAAATAATGAGACAAGAAATTAAAGTAACAAAATAAGTGCAAATCAAGTTTCCCTGTGTTACAGTGTAGCTGAATGTTTTTCAACAATTTGATTTACGGTAAAACACATACCAAATATTTCCAGCCAAGGTTTGTTTCAATCTTCAGCATTTTTTTCCTGCCATTGTCTTGAAACTGTTTCATCTGTCTCTCTCATTTGATGCTGTTTACAAAACAAAACAGCAATATTGTAAAGGGAAAAAGGAAAATTAATTTAATGGAAAAAAAAAGATTATGACCTGAAATCTCACCATTTCCTGAGAGTCACAGGTCCTTTGAGTATCCTTATGGTTTCTGCTCAAATTCAGTGTCTGAAAAGGGCAGGAACAAAACAAACCTTTTTAATCATAATAAAGACAAAATAAGATTTAGAGACAGACGACAAAGAAATGTGTAAAATATCTTCTTGAATCTGTTTACTTTACTAACCTTGAAAGAGACTCTTGGGTCTTAGCTGTGCCACCACCCTTAAACCTTAAAACAGATGGAGATGATATGCTGGCCTGGCTTGAAATTTCCATATTTGGTGCTGTAAAACAATATCACAAACAATAGATTAATTGTACTTTTTGGACCTTGGCCAAAGCATAATAGAAAAAACAGAAAGTCCTTCATGGCTATTGTGCAATGAAATCATAATACTTACTGGTTTGTTTCTCAGATGTCTCCACTCCTAATGATTGTAGTGCCTCCAGTACAATTTCAAGGATTGAGGCAGACAGGTCCGGCAGCACCTTAGTAATGGAACTCCTTATGCTGCCCCCCATTTCCAAGATGTCTGATAAAAGAATGTGAATAAAGGTCAATTTACACCAAGTGGTACCTTTGGTCTTAAAATATGAAGCTGATCTTGCTTGATACTACACTTTTATACAGTGTTTCGTAAGTACCAAACTAACAGCACCATTATTGTGACAGCACACTGTGTTTCAGTGGAACCATTTGGTACCCATACTTCATGTAAGATGTTAATGGATAGAAATCAATTAAGTCAATGGGTTTTGACCAAAAAAATCATTTTATTTAAAACAGCTTACTATCACTTGTGTCACACAGAACATCAGCAGGAGGCTCAGTAGAGGGCTCTTCTGATTTCTGCCACAGATCAGACTCTAGCAGACATCTCAAAGTCTCTCTTAAAGGCACATAATAGGCAAACCTATCTTTTCTGTTTTCATCTCTCCCTAAAAATATTTTCTTTGGTTCCGCATAGTTGAAGGCTTTTTTAAAGATCTGAGCTCTGGAGTGCACTGTCCTCAATGGCCCGGTATGACATGCAGAAAAAGATCATAGCTTTTGACAGACTCACAGACTTTGTTGATGTCCTCCTCTGATAATGATGTGTCATCTTTTAACAGTGATGCAAGTTTACCCAAACTGTATGTCTGTCCCAACTCATGCATGTTCTGCATTTCCTCTACAATGTTCTGTATGGTTGAAGCAGGCAGTAGAAACTGACCCTGCAATTTTAAGTAGAATAGTGAAACGTTTCTCAGAAAAAGATCACAGAATTCAGGGGGCATTTCCATGTTATCTTCATGTGTAATAGACTGTGCAGCAGGCTCGGAAATCAAGGGTACAAAGTCATCTGATGTGGTTGGAACAGATGATGATTGACATGCAGACTCTCTATATAAATCACCAATGCTGCTGTCTGAAAACTCTGTGTTTACGTGACATGTGAGCAGTAAAAGATGATTTAACTCTAAAGGTATTTGTGCATCCTCTTACTGGACAAGTGACCACGTGTCCTTCCACAATATGGCTCTTCAGATGAGCTATTAACTCTTTAGAGTTCTGACACTGACGTTCACACATCGCCATTGCACATGTAAACGAAGAAACCACCACCACACCAGTGACATGGGTGGGGGCAGTGTCTTCGGTAAAAATGAGCCTTAAACGCGCCATACCTGGTGTATGTCTGCTTGCAGCCTGCTTCAATACACCGAAAGAAACAACGTGGCTCATTCCGATGCAGTTTACAATGAAGCACGTAGCCCCTTGATGACTGAACTACCTTACCACAGAAATTACACGTTAACATAACTCCAAGTACTTTGGTAATTCCTCCCTAGCGAATTAAGCACGCCATATACAGAAACTAATCCAGAGCAATGCTTCCCTCGCAACAGTAATGCTAACTCAACTCACAAATGCTAACTAAATTCACAACCTCACTCATAAAAAACGAACTGCTAAAATTATCTATAAACGCTGGGCTGGTGGATTTTTATAACAGAGATAACTTGAAGTTGCATGTACTCACCTCACCTCGAACTAATTGTAAGCTGCCAGGATGTCTACAAATTCCGAAGATGCTGTGGTCCAAGCAGCAATAAATGGCGCTAATATACGAGTTCAAAACTGTGTCCGTTAGCGAAGCCAACTTGAGTCTCCTGCATGAAAAAAAGAGCGGTTGGCACACAGCTCAGCAGCGCGCCGCGCTATTGGTCATTTTCAGGTGACGTCATCCCGCAATGTAACGTCGCTCTTTGTTTCTTTAGGAGGTTCGAATTTGATCAGAAGTCACGTCTGCAGACCGCTGCAGCCACGTCTTACCTTGCTTCCCCTTTTTTTGGTGAAATGGTTCGCTCATACTGCACAATGTTGCTACCAGATTTTTTTTCTCTGCAATTCGAACGTAAAACGTCTGTACACAGTTTACCAGCAGTTTAGCTACCAATCAACAGCGATCACACAAATTCAAAATTTAAGGCCGACCCACTTAAGGTGGTCTGATAATATGGCGTGAAACACAACAACATAAAGTTGTTTTAAAATAATAATTAAAAAAGATTATTGAAATCAATTTTATTCACAACCATAAACTTTATTTTTAACATCTTCTTATGCTGTTGATTTTTTTTATCAGAAGGTTAACAATGATATACTGCAGGCCTAACTTTTAATCTGTATATCAGTATCTGAATTTTAAAATAAAAAATACTATCAGTTTTATTGTCTTTCACTGCTGATATTTGCTTTTTTTTTAATGGTATGTACTGGTTGTATTATTATGGTGGACCCTATTTTTTAACATCTTGTTTCTGTAAAAATGAATGTTTTTGTTTGCTTAAAAATCTACAGCTTTATACTGTGAATTCCAATGTGCACAACCCCAAAAGATGTAGTTTTACTCAAATAATACCGTAAAATCTAAGTTTTTCAGACATTTTCAACATTACAATATGTAATTGTAAAATGTATGCATATTTATTTGTTTTCACAGAAAATATTTATAATTTCAACATTTTATTACAGTAAAAAACAAAGTTTTATCCAGTCTCACAATTAACGGTTATTCAATCTATTTAATACAGTAAAAGGAAGTTTTTGGTTTTACGCTCCATTACCGTTGGAATTTGACGGTGTTTTGCTGTATATTTTACTGACTTTTTTTACAGTGTAGTTCTGTTCATGTGGATGCAGTGGCAGGTTTTCACATTTTCAGTGCCACTCATTCAAGTGACTGCTTTAGTCTCATCCTTTCCCCATCCTTATAACACTGGATTTGCATAATGACTGAAACTAGCACCCCTGTTTACCTTTCTCATTTCCTGTCTTATTTTGTTGAGCATGTGTTTGTATAGGAATTTCTTTTACTTATGTATTAATCACATTATTTTATTGTATAATGCCTTGGTGCCACTGGATTTTAACATGTCTGACACCCATACTGTAAGACAAATGGTGGAGGTGTTGTAAGGAAGCGTGAAGTATCTTGGTGTCCACATCTCCTCAGACCTGACATGGGCTGCCCACATTCAGGTCCAGACCAAAAAGGCTAGGCAGCGCCTGTATCACCTACGACAACTGAGGAAGTTCAGGGTCTCTCCAAAGATCCTCAGGATTTTCTATACAGGCGCTGTGGAGAGCATCCTCACACAGAACATGACATCGTGGTTTGGGAACAGCTGTGTGAAGGACCAAAAAGCTCTCCAGAGAGTGATCCGTACAGCAGAACGCTGCTGCAGGATTGCTCTCCCCCCGCTTCAGGACACCTACACTAGGAGATGCCGGACTAGAGCAGCGCAGATACTGAAGGACCCGTCCCATCCTGGCAACAAACTGTTCCAACTTCTGCAATCTGGTAGAAGGTTCCGCATCTTCCGGGCAAGGACAGAGAGACTCAAGAGGAGCTTCTATCCCCAAGCCATCCGTGCCCTAAACACACACACCCGCCCTCTCACATCATCTATAATTGACTGAGACAGGACTCTTCCAGACACTAAACCAAGGCACAATTCCTTTAATTTTAAATATGTTTATATTGTCTATCCTGTAAAATAGTCAGATGTCTATTCATATTAATGTACAGAATTCACCTGCTTGCTGCTACTACTGCACATTCACCCAATGTATATATATATATATATAATGTTCTTCCTCTACATCCCCCCCCCCAATTTTTGCACATGTCGAGGAGCGTGTCAGGCTACATTTCACTGTGTGTTATACTTGTATAACTATGCATGTGACAAATAAAGAACCTTGAACCTTGAACCTTGAAGGGAGTGTGAACCTTAATGTGTGAAACAGCTGTGTACTGCCTTTTGTTCCTGAAGAAGGTATTTAACTGAGAGCCATGCTAGGCTCAGTGAGACTCTGCTGACCTGCCCCGCGGTCATGTAGGCTCTCCACAAGCTTGGTTTTCTGTTCTTTGTGTGTTTGGATTAAAGAATGTTAGCTACCGCTCACCGCTCGTCTGCAGGCTTTATTTAAATGGAAAACCTCCACAACATGTTCCATGTGTGCATTGTCTTGGGTTTTGCTTCATTTGTTCCTTTGTTTTCCTTTACTCCAAAGTGACCTTATCTCCGTCTCTGACAGTAAAGGAAAGAGAAAGATCTACTAAGAATATGCCAGAGAAGTAGAAATGTCACCATTACTTTTCAGAGTGCAGATTAATGACATACTTAAGCAGAGAGAGTTTGAATTTGGATGTTTATTTTTTCATCTTTTGGACTGCAACTATTTTAATTTGCTTTGCTTAAAGAAACATCACTGGCATCTTATTTACATAAAGAACACTCATTTATGAAAAAATAAAATATGAAAAAAAAAGTTCTTCATTTTCTATTGTATTGTTTTTTTAAACCAGTTAGTGTATGTGTCTATTTGGTAGCTTAGTTTCTTGCAATTATTATACAGCACCCCCTTCTGGACAACAGTAATTGTTACAAAAATAAATGAAGCTGGTTGTTACATGGGGAACTTCAGCCTAACATCTTCCATTATACACTCCAGTAGACATAAAACTAATAACAAAACAGTGATGTTGATTGAAAAGTGTGTATCCAAAACAAAAGCCAAACTTTTATTGGGGCAAGGAAAAAACCAACAGGGACCAGATAACAATATCCATCAAACAAAGCTGAATATACAACAGGAAATCTCATAAGCAGACAGACAGTAAGCATCGAACAGAATGAGTGGTTACACCCACAGGAAATGAAAGGGAAACAAACACTGCCGCAACTAATCGAT